GTTCCCATTTAATGCCATAACAAATCATTACTAACCACATTAGAGCTGAATAAATAATAAAGCCAATTATTTTGTCAAAGTTATTTGTCATCTAGGGCTGAAACAATCGGATTAATCGACTATTGAAATAATTGTCACCTAATTTAGTAATCAATTAATCGTTAACTGGAGTGTTGAGACTCTAAAAGATGTCTTTAGCTGACAGAGCAACAGAAATTATACCAAAACTGTATAAATAGGATTACAATTTTTTTTTTAAAGTTTTCCTTTGGTCAATATGCTCTATCCAGAACTTAAGTGGTAAAGTTTTAGTTTCACTTAGTAAAAAATCTTCTTTAAGGAACTTTTGACTAGCCGATTATTGATAAAAAAAAAAATGGTCGTTAGTATTATTATCGTTAGTTTCGGCCCCACATCTATCTAAATTCATCTCCCTTGGAATAATAAATAAAAACAATCTTTATGAAAGAGCAACATTAAAAATAATAACTAAAAAGACTAAGAACGACCTGAACTAGTGCTGTTTCTTGTATCTTTGCAGAAACACCCACATGCTTCACGGATGGGATTTTATTCTTCCTTCTTTTTTCTCCAAACAAAATACTGGAGTTCATCCCAAAAAGTTGTGTTTTGGTCTCATCTGACCTCATGACCTTCTCCTCTGGTTCATCCAGATGGTCATAGACAAACTTTATTTATTGTAAACCTGGATTTGAGGTTGGGATTACAGTCTGTGATATATAAACAAACCCTCCCCCCTCATGTTTTACTAGAGTTTTCTATTCAAATGTATATCTATGAACCCACCAGTTCTAATAAAAAAACATATTTACTGACCCATGTTTCCAGATAAACCCATGAGACCAGACTCAATGAGTTTGTAGGTGTCGCTCTTCAGTTTATTTTTAAATTTTCTTTTACTTTTATCTAAAATCTTAGCATTAAATGCTGCTCTAATAAGTTTTTCCTCGTCTATGCAACCATTCAATTACTAATCGACAGGATTAATATTTTTAATTAGGTCTATAACAGTTATAATACTAAGTCTTATCTCATATTTATTTTCTATATTAAGTAATATTCTCCTGTATGTGTCTGCGGTCAGTTTACCCACCTGGCAGCAGGGCGAAGCAGCCAGTATATCGTAGGTGTACATGGTTCCCAGCTGGTGCCAGCTCCCGTCCCACCGCGACTTGCACTTGATGCAGACGATCTTGTGGACGCCCTCCAGACAATCCACACATATGGCATACAGGTGCATCAATCGACCTGTTGAAGACATTCACAAACACAGGAAGGTTTTTTTTTTTTAAATAGACAAAACAAAGGGCTATTTCCAGTTTTTGTAAATCCCTTTATTGTCCCACAATAGGGAAATTTACTCTATATTTAACCCATCCCCTTGGGGAGCAGTGGGCTGCCATTGAGTGGCGCCTAGGGAGCAGTGTGGGGGTAAGGGTTTTGTACAGGAACCAGAGTGCAGGCTGTGGGGTCGAACAAAGTCACGGGCGGTTCTAGACAGGGGTCAACGAGGGCCAATGCCCCTGCAGATCATGTCCTGGCCCCTGTGATGGCCCCTAATGTAAAAAAAAAAAAAAATACTAATTTTTACAGCTGAATTTATTAGCTTTTCTTGAGTTCTAATTCAGATTTGATAGAAAACTGTAATTATGAATCACCTTATAACACATAAAATTTTTATTAAACCTAATTGAATATAAATTTTTCTTCCTGCAGGTTAATATATTTGAATCTCTTGCAGGGTTTCCGCAGGTCATTAAAAGTCATTAAATTATTATTTTTTAAATAAAGCCCTTACTTGGCATTACAATTCATTCAATGTGATTATCTTGGCATTTAAAATGCTTTACTAAAAAAAGAAAAAAAATGTTTATAAAAACAATTCCGTCAGGATATTATATGAGATATAACTGGTTCTGTTTGTTTGTGTGGATCTGCTTCCGGAAAGCTTCAGAAAAGAGGCTACAGAATATATATATATATATATATATATATATATATATATATATATATATATGTGAAAGTAATGGGTACTTGTCGATGCTATTAAGATTATTAAATAAGAGTTACTCATTCCTGTATAAGCCCTGTAGACCCCGTTTTTTATTTCATGCTTTTCTGGGCCCCCATGGACACACGCGGGCCCCCTCCTGGCCCCCTGGTACATTTTTGTCTAGAACCGCCACTGAACAAAGTACTTGCAACCTTCTTAGAGCATAAGCGGTCCGCTTTTAAAGTTATAGGAGGTATTCAGCATGTAGATCATTAACGATGTTTAAATCATCTATTCTGATTTGACAGAATGGATTCCCTCTTTATGTGTTTTCATAAGGATATGATTTAATTTCTTTAGAGGACTCAGACTAAAGCATCCCAGCTCTAAAGGTTTAAAGGCAGCGAAAAAAAGAGGAGAGTAAATATTTAAAACAAACATGATCAAGTAAGTAATTCGGGCAAAGCGATGATGCTTCAGCCTAATATTTCTGGGAGTCATATTAGTGTTTTAACGCTTAACTGTGATCTCATCTGTTGTTCTGTTCACCTTTCTGGAAGAAAAAAAACCAATCAAATCATAATGCTTGATTTTATTTATGTATAGTGACACTGATGGTTTTAAGTTGAACCATTAAATCTGTATGAGACATTTCACACCTCTTTGGTTTTACAGGCAGAAGCATAAAAAAACTGAATAAATGAGCCTTCCATACTTCTGCATATCAAAGACAAAAATATCAAAGCTTGTGGGTCAGCAGCGCATCAAAGAGACTCCGTGCTGCAGCTGCACTGATTCACATTCACGTTGGGACCGTGCAGAAGTGGGCAGGAAATCGCACACAGCACTGATGGATGAGTGTTTCCTTATTTAGACAAATCTGTGTCGGTTTGAACCATTTAACGGTTCCTTTACAGGGACTGATCCACGTTGGTTTTCTGTCAAATGATGAAATAGCTGCATGATGTCTGTCTCTTGATTTGCAAAGACAACTGTGAACACACTGGTTTGCATCAAGACAGTGACACAGTTAGGGGTTTGAGATCTTAAAGGACAGATCATCAAAACCTTCAGGGTCCGGCAGACTGTGGCGAAGAAGCTTTAAGGGTGTCTTAATTACCCCTCAGGGCCGGCTCTCCCCAACAGCGTGATTTTGGGACTGGAGGAGCAGCAAAGAAACCACTTTTATCGAAGAGAAACATCAAGAACTGAAGACTCAAGAAATACCTGATTGACAACAAACCATTTCTTCTGTTAATGAGAACCAACATTGGTCCTATGTTGGACAGTGAAACACCTCAAACAAGCCCATGTAAGGTTCTACTTCTTTGCCTTATAAAGAAGAACATTTATCTTAAGGAAACTATTTGAATAAAAAGTTGATTAAAGTAGAGGATCCCAAACTTTTCAGCTTCTACAAAATAACAGTCGAAGCAGTCGAGTTTTTACAAAATCAGTTAACAACAGGCGTAATATAACTGTGTTAGGATAATTATCATTTATGATGTGTGAGTTTCTTACACCCTAATATTACCTGCCTGTTGCGTGTCAGAACTGATGTTTTCCCCAGTAGTTTATCTTATTAGGACAGTTACTCTGTCCGGATATACAGTTAGCATTTTCTTTATGTACGAGGCAAAGATTTGGGAATGGAATGAAAGCGAGGTCCTTCAGCTAAGAACAAGGGGTAATATTTTGATAAGGCTGGAGCCATGGATGTCTCCTCATCTGCAAACATGTAATGATTTGGCAGACTGGAGTTGTATAAGATTATTCACTAACGGTGAATTGTGGCCACTTCCCGAGAAGTGAGCCCGGTTGGTGAGCAGCTGCCTTCTGTAACCCTAAGCAAATTCTCTGATTGGAGCAAGATTACAATTTCTATCAAAATCTGTTGTCATGTCTCGTGGTTATTTAATACATATCTATTATGATTGTTTGTCCCATGTTATCTCTTTTATGGAAAAAAAACAGAGAGAGAAAGGTTCAAGGTGTAAACACAGAGCTTTCCTTTAACAACGGTAAATGGCATCAAAAACCAACAAGTAGTTGGTTTTCACTCTTTAATTTTGATTGCTGCTTATATATTAGGTGTGCACTGACTGGAATTTTCTGGACAAACACTGATAGCTGATCTTTAGAAATCCTGACATGCCAATTCTGATTTTCATTAACTTTTTTTTTCTTAACTTTTTTACTTTTTCTTCTTGATTTTACATTATTACTTCATGTTCTACTCGCCCATATTAGTTTTGTGTCATTTGGAGCTGTTCTGAAGATATTCCGTTAG